CCCCAAAACCCCAAAACCCCAAAACCCCAAAACCCCTAAGAATTTTAAAACTCTTGAAAATGACCAGTTTATTCATAATAATCATTCTCTCTCCTATCATCTTCATACTCTGGCTGGTCTTGTAATACAGGCTGTTCAAAGCGCCCTTCAGGGTTTTGAGTGAACATCATTGTTCCTTCTTCAAGAGCAGGATCCTCTTCCTGAATTTGTAGATTGATCATCTCTTCATTTCTTGCACCATGTTCTACTCCAGCTAATCTTCCTTCATCAAACATTCTTGGAGTTTCTTTGAGAGCTTCTGCTTTTTTACGGCTATCATTGACTATTTTCTCGCCACGTTTCTGAGAAATCGCTAATGATACTTGACTTTGGCTCCTCTGACTATCATAGTCATAATCGTTCGAACTCATGTGAGTGTACGCTCTAGCCCCTTTGATTGATGGTAGTCCATCTTTTTGTTGCATGCTACCTCTTCCTGATTTGTGAGACATTGGGTACCCCACTTCTGCTTTTATGGACCCTCTCAAGTTTCCTGGGAGGAAAGTATTACCTGTTCGATTCTTCTCTCTAGATAAGTTAGATCCTCCTGCTTCAAAAGTTGTCTTTGAGCTTTTAGCAAACATTCGTAATTTCTTTTTCAGCCTTTCGATTTCTTTATCCTTCATTGAATTTTGATGTGTGCTACTTCTGAGCATATCGCTTAACAATTTAAGTTGATCTTCGCGATCCTTCAGCTCATTCTTAGCTGTCTTCAGAGTTGTGGCTAAGTTCTGGGCACTGGTTTTATTCTGGCTTTTCTTTCTCCCCTTCAAGCCTTTACTCTGAGCTCTCTTTGGAGGAGTCTTTTCCTCCTTGCTTTTCTTTTTCTTTTTAGAGTCTGCTGAGATTAGGCTCTCAAGCATCTCAATCTTTTTATTTTAACTGCTCTGCATGGGTATTGTGCTTCTGAGAAATATTCTGAGTTGCCTTTTGTGACTTTATATCAACTTCTCCTGATGCTTAAGCTTACGGATCTGCCGTTCTAATTCATCAATTCCTGACTGAAGATGCAACAAATAATGTTTATATCATTCTAAACGTGTCTGAAGGATCTTCTTGGTGATATTAAGCTTGGCTGGTCTACATTTCTTGAGCACTATGATCTGCTCAAACTCTTTTTGGTAAGAATAAATCTCTTTTAAGACGTTATCGATCTTTTCTCTAGATTTCCTAACCTTGCCATAAAGTGTCTCTATCTTCTTAGTTGTCATTGAATTCTTGGCTAGAAGTTCATTAATTTCTTCCTCATGTGGCTGGGATACCTCTTGGAATATATTTTCGTTCTTCATTTCTTCATTGATCTGTTGGATTTCATCGACCCTAGCCTTAATGGTGTCAATCTCTTGCTTCTTTTTAGAGATTTCTAGCTCAAGTTTTTCATCTTCATTTGAAAGTTCATTATCGTTATTTTCAGTTTCAGGATCTTCTTGCTTATTTTCATTAGAATTCGTCTTTTTCTCTCCATTTTCTTTATTTTCAACCTCCGGTTCGGGCTTGGAAGATTCTTGCTCAGCTGAGTTATTGTCTTCATTGCTATACTTCTTAATAATATCCTGAATAGTTTCATGATTTTCCATATATTCTTCACGGCCAGCAGGTTTGAAATTTTTAGGGAACTCCGGAGGCTTAAAAGAAGGGGTAAGCTCATAACCTCCAAAAGCACCTCTTCCGATATTCTCCAAGAAGGCTTTGGTGTATTCCTCAGGGCTTTCATTTCCTTCATTCATAGAAGTGATAGTTTGTTGTAACTTTTCGAGATATTGTTTCTTAGTTTCGACAGGATCGCCTTCATACTTAAGAGTCTCTATGACTCTTTGTTGGAGGTCGAGGGTCGCATCAAGTATATCGAATTCATCAAATTTCTTACTAGCTTCGTTAATAAATTCCTGATATTTTACAATGTCCTCTGGAGCTTCTTTCTCAGCAGGGTCGTTTAATACTTCTTTTTAGCAACATTCATGTAGTAATTGCATCGATCACTTGTAACTTCTTTAATATATTCATTGCCTTTATTATTGCTGCTACCTGGTACGCCCATACTCCGTTCCATGACGTCAATGGCAGTACTGATCTCGACTGCTTTATGCTCTTCCTTTTCCCTCTCTAACAACTCTTCTTGGATTTGTTCATGCTCACTAAGTGTCTTAGGCTTAGGGATTTTCTCGTAAATTGCCGACTTCTTCATTTGAATTAATTTTATAAGAATTTAACAATATAGCAGCTCATTAGGGGTTTTGGGGTTTTGGGGTTTTGGGGTTTTGGGG